ATCTCCTCGTAGACCGCCGCGGCTCCACCGAGAAGACGCCTTGGTAGCTTTCCTTCAGCTCCTCGGCCCTTTGTCTCCACTGAGCCCGGATTTCAGCGAACGACTTGCTCGGCTTCCCCGATTTTTCTTCCTTCGACATCGCCTTCGTTGGTACCGGCGCGGCGTCGAAGGTGGGGATGGAAGAGGATTCCTCCGCCATTATGTAATCTTGGGTGCGGGCGAGGAACTCCTGGTAGGTGGTCGGCTTATTCTGGCACAGGGACCACCTAAACAGCGTCTTCGGCCTCAAGCCGCCCTGAGCGGTGATCAGCAGGGCGTCGGGATGGCATCGCTCCATGTTTTGGACTCGGTCGTTAAACCGAGCGATGTAGTCCTTAAGGCTCTCGTTCTCGCCCTAAACGATATTGAAGATGGACTCTTTGGGGGCGAGGTTGACCTGCGATCCGATAAAGTGCGATCGGAACGCCGACCTGAGCTGGGCCCAGGTGGAGATGGAATGGGGGTAAAGAGAATGATACCACCTCTGCTCCTTTGGCCCCAATGCCAAGGATAACATGCGGCAGCGCAGGGCGTCAGAGGCGCTGTGCAGGTCCATCCATGAAGTGTACAGGCCTATGTGGGAGTCAGGGTCCGAACTCCCATCATAGAGGCCGAGCTGGGGGACTTGGATCTGCTTCGGGACGGCCTCTTGTAGGATGTCCGGGGAAAGAGGCGAGGCGTGGTCCACGACCCGGGGAGTGGGTCGCGTGCGAGTCTGTGGATGAGCTGGGAGTGAAAACTCACTCCCGGTGGGCTGCCGACCTTCCAACTCGGCAATTCTGCGTTTGAGGGCCGCGACTTCTTCGGTGTCGTGCCCGATGGCTTTGCCCCACCTTATCACCTCCCAGAGATCATGGTTGGCTTGACTCTTGTCACCCAAGCACTGATGGACTGAGCGGCGAACGACCTGGAGGCTTCGCTCTGGCCGGCTCTCTCCTGTCTGCTCGGTAGGGGCCGGTCTGGTGCTTTTGTCACGGCGGTTCTGAGCCTCGCGGTTCGGCGACTGAGCCGTGGTTTTGGATTTCGCCGGGTTCCTTTGTCCGCCGGTCTCCTTCTCAGGAGTGTGGAGCAAGGTGTTACCGGGGTTCTCTGTGGGCACCACAGTGTTTGCCCCGGCGGTTTGACTAGCGAGGGCCTTGGCGAAGACCCCCTCGAGGGCTTTGAGGACATCGGGGTGCTGCAAAGCGCAGCGAAGGTAGGGACTGGTGGGACTGGGACTATATGTCCCTGCTGAGCACGACGGGAGGTTTCTCCGCCGTTACGGCCACGAGGCTGGGAGCCGGACTGCTGGGTTGAGTCGTCACGACCAGATGAAGGCATTTTGAGTTGCTTTTGAAAGTGAAAAGAGTAGGGAAGAGATGAGTGCGAAGTGGAGCTTCACAAGATCGAAAAATTGACACCAAGTAACTTATGGTGCTCTCCTTCTAGCGCCAAACTGTTGACGGACGTTTCCGGTCAACGGTTAAAAAGTTAAGTAATGAAAAGATAATAGGAAAAAGACAAGGAATTAAGGTTTAATCACGATTTTATTAAAAGATCACGAGGTCGGCCTCTCGTACGAGGTCGGCACTTGCGATATACTTACAGTTTTCTTATACGAGTTTCTTACAAGTCTAGAGAGAGAAAAAATAAAAAGAGCTTTTACAGTTGGGATTCAACAACCCAAAAATAAATGAGGGGGTTGCTATTTATAGTGGTCTTTAATGCGGTACTGTTTGGGTACTGTTCACCGGTCTTGTCGTACAGTAGTTCGGAGGGACAAACCGGCGCTTCTCTGACCGATTGAGAGTGATTTCTAGGTCTTCTAATCATTACCTGCCACGCATTTAATGCGGATGTGAGCCACATTTAATGCGGACACGTTCCCTAGCCGAACTAGACATCCTAGTCCTGTAGACTAGTTTGGGATGTCCCATCGGCAATCATTTGTCAACAAGTGGCCTTATTTTATTGTGTTTGACACCGTATTCCTATCAGGGGCCGCCCTCGCAAGACCTTGAGCAGGGTGCCGACCTCGTGACCGGCTCGTAGTTGAGAGGTCATGGTGCCGACCTCGGGATCGACTCTACCCGCCGTTCCTGGTGACTTTGATTTTGTTCAGCTCGGCACCCACGAACGGTTCTGGTAACCGGCTCCTTCGGTTCGGCCGGCCACTGCTCGGCTCTTAGTCCGTCGGGCCGGTACCCTTATTGGGGCCGGACTCGGATATTAACACCGTACTCACCCCCACTTTATATTTTCAGATGGCAGGGTCGGCGGGCAGGCGTTAGTCCAGCTGTGGTGGTTGTGGTCGTGGAGATGGCACAACGAGCCGTTCCAGGGACATTTGTTTAAAATGTTTTGTATAACTAATATGACCACGCATTTTCAGACTTCCGCTATGTGTGTTTTATTTCGAGCTTGCATGACAGTATTTCAGACTTAAACGTTTTTACCCAGTTCGCCAGTACGGACGGGTCTAGTTTCACATGCTTGATCCGATAAAACATTTAATCTGATTTTCTTTAAGTCTAAACCAGTAGATAGACCAGTTAAAGAAAACGAATTTTTAAAGCAGATAAGTTTTTAGCAGCATCCCCAGATAGTTTGCAAACGATTTTGAAAAATTTATAAGCGTTTTCGAAAGTTAGAATTTGCGAAAAATTGGCCCTAAGTAGCGGAGTGTTGCACAATGGGCATGTAAGATGTTCCTTTTAAAGGACATCCTTTCACCTAGAGCAGCAGGGAGATGATTTCATTGAGGAGAGGATTGACAGATTTTTCATTTCTCCTATGTGGGCCTTAACATTTCCCAGATCCCAGGTTAAGCATATTCCCCTTCACTCCTCAGCCCACTGCTTACTTCTCCTTAACTCAGACTGTGAAGAAGAAAAAACCAAGATGAGGTTTTATTTTGATTCAAGGTGGGTTACTAAAGAAGAATTTTCAGACACAGTGGCTGAGGCATGGAATTTGAATGTCATTGGAGTTGATTTATACAGTATTCAATCAAGAATCCGAAATGTGAGAATTGCATTACTGAAGTGGAAAAAATCAAAAATCAGTCATGCCCAACAGGAAATTGACTTGCTCAAATCAAAACTTGATGAACAGCATTTGCAAGGCTCTTAGAAGAATTGGGCAGAATGGGAGATGAATAAAAGGAAGTTGAATCAGGCCTATGCAGAGGAAGAAAAGTTTTGGGCCCAAAAGGCCAGATGTCAGTGGCTCAAAGAGGGAGATAAGAACACAAGATAGTTTCAGGCTTGTGTCAAACAGAGAAGGAGGGCAAATAGCATTGAGAGTCTTCTGAAAAGAGATGGCAGTAGATGTCTTAACTTAACTGAAATCCTGGAGGAAGTGCACTCATATTTCTCTGATTTGTTCACATCATCCAATCCCACTCTAAACTGGTGTTCTCTTGAGGGAATCCCATGCACAATTTCTGAAGAAATGAACAACAAGCTGGTTAGGCCTGTGACTATAGAAGAGCTTAAGCAAGCTTTGTGGGAAATGCATCGAAATAAAGCCCCGGGAATCGATGGTATGTCACCCCATTTTTTTCAGTCTTCTTGGCATACTATTAAAGACTCTTTGTTTCTAGCTATCCAAACATTTTTCTTAACTGGTAGAATGCCTAAAGCCACCAACCTCACTGTTATCACTCTAATTCCTAAAAAGCTAAATGCTCATTCCCTTTATGAATTTAGGCCTATAAGTCTTTGCACTGTCACTTACAGACTTATCTCTAAAATTCTTGCAAATAGATTGAAGCAGGCCCTTTCATTTTGTATCAGCCCTCAACAGGCTGCCTTTGTCCCTGGAAGGAAGCTTATTGATAATTTTGTTATTGCCAATGAATGCATTCACTACCTTAATAGTAATAGATATGGGCATAACTGCTTTATGGCCCTTAAATTAGATATGATGAAAGTTTTTGACAAGGTAGAATGGAAATTTCTTGCTGCCATCTGTAAAAAGATGGGTTTTTGTTCCACTTTTATTTCTTGGATTCTATCTTGCATTTGTACTTCTTCTTTCTCTTTCAATATTAAAGGTCAACCTCTTGGTTTTTTAAAGCCTTCTAGAGGCTTAAGGCAAGGAGATCCCCTCTCCCCTTACTTGTTTATTATCATTTCTGAAGCTCTTTCTAACCTTATCAAGCAAGCTTCTATTTTGTACTCCTTTCAAGGCATTAAAATTAGTAAAGCTTCTCCTCCTGTCACCTATCTCTTTTTTGCTGATGATTCCATCTATTTTTTGTAAAGCTGACTCTTCTCATGCTCTTTTGATTTCCTCCATTCTAAGGCTCTATGGGCTGGACTCTGGCAAAAAAGTTAACCTCAATAAATCTTCCATATTTTTCTCTAAGAACACCTCTGCTTCTGTGAAGGCTGATATTGTATCTATTTTGGATGGTATTTCTATTGTTAACTCTACTAGATATTTAGGGTTGCCCTTAGGTCTAGGAAGATCTAAGAAAGACACTTTCAATTTTGTTGTGAATAAAGTTAACCAAAGATTGTCTTCTTGGAAAAATATTTTCTTATGTGAAGTAGGGAAAGAGGTTTTGCTAAAGTCTGTTATTGAGGCACTACCTACTTTTGTCATGTCTTGCTTCAAGATTCCTCTTGCTGTTTGTAAAGACATTTGCAGGCTCTGTGCATCTTTCTGGTGGGGTTGTAAGGAAAATGGCAGGGACAAGATACATTGGGCTTCATGGAAAAAGCTAGCTTTATCTAAAGCTGATGGAGGTCTGGGATTCAAGTGCTTGGCCTCTTTCAATGAGACTCTTTTGGCAAAACAGCTGTGGAGACTTACATCGCAGCCTCAGCTTCTTATGAGTAAAGTTCTTAAGGGTGAGTACTACCCTTCCACCTCTCTTTGGGAAGCAAAAGCTAAGCCATCAGATTCTTGGTTGTGGAGCTCTTGGCTCAAGGTTAAAATTCAGTTGAAAAACAAAGCTATCATAGCTATTGGCAATGGTGATAAAATTGCTATTTGGAAAGATCCCTGGGTTTGAGAACTTCATCCCTTCAAAAGCCTTCTCCTCTGACTCTCTCAGACTCAAGAAGGTTAGTGACTTATTTGATCATTCCAGTAATTCTTGGGATATTGATCTTGTTGAGCAAACATTTAAACCTGAAGAAGCCAGACAAATTCTTTCCATTACTCTTAAAAAAACTGGTCATAGTGATTTGTTGACATGGCTCCCACATAAGCAAGGCAAGTTCACAATCAAATATGCCTATTCTGCTATTCTCAAGACAAAAATGCTCTCTCTCAAGCAACCAGAATCTAGCAACAGTAGACTGATTGAACAAAAAATCTGGAAAACTACCTGGGAACTTAAAATAAAACAGAAAATTAAGAATTTTCTTTGGAGCTGTTGGTTTAAGTTCATTAGCACTCAGGATCAGTTAAAGAAGAAATGCATACAGGTTGATCCTATCTGTTGCATATGTGGTAAATTTGAGGAATCTTTGGAGCACATTTTCTTCCACTGTGATAGAGCTTCAAAAGTTTGGAAGTTATCTGGATTGGACTGGAGTGGTTTGCAGCAGCACACTGATTCTTTCAACTCTTGGTGGGCTGGAATTTGCCACATTCAAAGGGTGCAATGCATTCAGGATAGAGTTCACTACTCAACTTACATCCTTTGGTGGTTATGGAAAACGCGAAATAATTGGCTATTCAATAAAGTTAGGATTTCTAAAATGGAATTGGCCAAAAGAGCTTGGATTGAATGGACAGAATTTGATGAAGGCACCTGCTCAGCTTCCTAATTGATCTCTTCTGTGTGACCTTCTTTATTTGTGTTCTATTGTTTGATTTTCTCTTCTCTAGTTTTATTGTGGTGGATGGCTACCAGGAATTTCTCATTCAGTGGTCGGCCCTCTTCTTCAACAATTCTATGCTTTTGCAGTGGTTATCAGCTAGGAGTACTCCTACTCAGTGGTTGAATCCATCTTTAGCCTTATTTTATTTTGACGTACATTTGTATATTTTGTTGTTCTCTTCACTCTTTTGGGATGTATATTTGTTTAGTTGGTTGGATTTTAGACCCGAGGGTCTCGTAACTTAGCTATAGTTTACAGCTAAGGGAAGTGCCGTTGGTGCGCCTCATTTGTATAAACTTTGTAAGAGTTATTTTGGTTATATTATTATCCGTTTCCATAAAAAAAATAGAATAATCATCACATTTAAATAATCAACACAACAACCAATAAGCATAAATTATTTCCACACCCATTTGAATAATTATCACCAAATGGGACTTGATGGGTTGAACACTCTTGATGGGCTGAACGCTCTTTTTTTTTTTTGTTAATACAATTTTTATAATTAAAATTCTAAAAATTGTATTCAAGCCTTCAAAAAATATCAAATTTTCAAACACATGACCCCAAATTATCTAATCTGGTTGGTGGATCTTCGGGCGTCGGTAGCCGCGTTCGAGCCGCTGGTGAACCTTTCGGCCGTTGTTTTCCCTACTAAGCATTCTCTGGTTATCGATTTCATCATTTTTCACTTTCAATTTTGAAGGGCGGACCCCGGCCCGAATTTGAATCTCCGGCAACTTTGGTGCCTTCGTCGTCTCCAGCCAGTGACCTCCACCTCCAGTACGAGCAGGTCTTCCATTCGAGCAGCTCGACGACGATGTAGTGTAGATTGCCTGGTTCGTCTCCGAGGGCGATTTTCGGCGGCTCAATTTTCAGCAGATGAAGACGGCGGCAACTTATGAGCTACTGTGGAAGGCGGTGGCGGCCGGTTGCCCGATGGCGACGGCGGGAGGCTGGAGCGCCAAACTCCATGATCGACGGCGGAGCTCTCGTTGGCCGCTTCTACGGTGGTCGATGGTGGAGCTCCCGTTGGCCGTTTCTACGGTGGTCTACGGCGGAGCTGAGTTCTCCAGTGGTGGCCATTGTCGGCGACGTTGATGTGACCGTCGATGGGCTGACGCCGGCGATTGTGTTAGGTGCCGGAGGTGAGTGTGCGTGTGTGAGTGTGTGGGGTGTGTGTGAGAGAGAGAGAGTTGGGGGTGGAGGGGGGGGGCGCGTGTGTAAATAAATTAATGGGGATGGTGGAGAATGGAGATGTATTGCTGGTGGGGCCCACTTAATTATAAGGAATATGAAATTACACAACTGTCCTTTGAGGGATCCATTTGACCATGAAATATACATATATTTACAACTATGCCATCATGTTTTGACCAGAGTTATTAATGTTTGACTTCATCATGTCCATTGATATCATTGATCTAATGGTACATAGTCATTCTTATTTCTTTCACTATCTCCCTTTCTTATATGATCCCTTCTCTCTCTCTCTCTCTCTCTCTCTCTCTCTATATATATATATATATATGGTCTGGTTCAGATAAAAACTAGTCCTGGTGTGAGAACCGCGAGAACCATTTTTGATGCTATTTTTACTTGTGTATGATGCTATATTTATTATCACATGGTGCTATCATTTTCATAAATGTTAATATAAATTGCTATTTTTAATAAAATATATCCTGATTAAAAATAACACTAAACCATAATCAATCATAGCATTTCATATAATTAAAAATAACGGTTCTCACAGTTCTCACGCTAGGACTTGTTTCTCATTTGAACCACATCTCATTTGAAAAATGCTACAAGTACATAATAAATGTATATAGAGGTGTACATAACACTCACAAGGAGTGAGGTTCACTTGATTTTTTATTTTTGGTAGGACTCACTTAATATGAGTGTTTTGTACACCTCTATGTACAGTATTATGTACCTATAACATTTTTCTTTATATATTGATGGCAAATCATTTAATAATATCTATCTACTAAAACTTATATAGCTTTCCTGTAAAAAAACCTTTTTTTTTCTTTCTGAAACGATAGAAATTTTATAAAAACTAAAACCACATAATTACAACTAGAAATCAGCTAGAATAGCCAAACAGCCAAACAGCTGATTCTAGGAGGCCTACCCAGAGGTAGCTTAGAAGCAACTACACTAACTCACCCACAAACAACAACTAAACAGCTAACGCTGCCAAAAGGAGAATAACGAAAAAACTCCCAACAGGAGAATACACGAAACTCACTCCCAACGGGAGAGAAAGAAAATAAAACACAACCTACACACAAATTTAACAACCAACACCTATAACAAAACACCAACACACAAAGATAACTAGAATAAAGCCCTTCCCATGTAGCGAATCCAAACCGAACAAAACCGACGCCGACACCCATGGGCAGCCACCCACGTGAACAAAGACCCGGTCCAAGCCGCAAAGCCAGGAACTACAGAAACAATGCCTAACTAGAATCGAGACTACAAACCTTGCCGTGTTCGGATAGCCAACCCCTAGACCCGCAATCGGAGATCAACAAAACAAGCTCCACCATCTCAACCCCTACGACCCAGGCCCAGGACACACGACCCGACCCCGACTCAACTCTGCCGATACAACCATAAGGCCTAAAAGCAGAGCAATTAGGAGAAAGAAGGAAAGGAAACAGCCCGATCTCAGCCCGACCACCACCAGAAGAGATGATCGACGCCACAGCCCTTAGTCGCATGCTCGCCGGAAAACTCGCCACTACTCGGACACCGGGGCACCGCCGGCCAAATACCCTCCGCCTCACCGGGGAAGAGGAATTCGACGAGCTTGCGAGAGCCGGCCGTACGGCCCGGTGACGGCCGCCGCCGAGATGGCCCGGAAGGGACCTGCTATGGAAAGGCGAGTTGTTTGGCGAAGAAGGGTTTGGTTGATTTGGGGGTTTTCTGATTTTTCTTCGAGGAGAGAGAAATGATTATTTAGATGAATATTTTCTCAAAGAATTGTAAAAAACCGTTACAACCCATTATTATTATTATTATTATTATTGTTATTATTATTATTATTATTATTACATTAATCCATCTTATCTCATTAGTGATAAAAAAAAATTTTCTTGCACTTTTTTTAGGTTAATTAAGACAAAAATCGTAACATTTTATATTACTTGAGTAATATTTATATTTTTCTATTGTATCATATATTAGTAATTAATAACTATATTTTACATTAAATGATATATGAAAGTTACATAAACATAAAAAATTATATTGTAAAATTTTTGTTCAAATTATTTATTCTAAAATTAATATTATATTTTTTATATGATTAAGTGATTGTTTTTTAAATAAATTAACATCTCGACATTGAAAGAAAAGTAAAAGCCGAGTGGAAATCTTAAAATCGCATAAGCAATTGTTATAATGAATTTAATATTTTTCAGCTAAATTAGTTATGATCCCTAAAAATTACAAAAATTGCATTATTTATTACATTTTATGCAATCAATATAGTGACTTATATGCAATCAAATAGTTGTGTACTAATTATTTTTACCAATGATCAAATTGTGAAACATAATACCATTATCTGACTTACAATTTAATATTATATGCATAAATATAACTTATAATACTCTATGTTTAATATATAATATCATTATCTAACTTATAATTTTAATATTATAATATGCATACAAATAACTTATAATACTTTATCTACGTCTGTGCAAATGCACATGATCGAATACTAGTAATGGTATATGCACGGTTTCATTCATTTATTTCATACGTGGAGTGTGTAAACCACTATTTACGCAAAAGTATTTTTCAAAATTTTATATTCTTTTTCAAGCATGTAGTATTTCTCTAAGTCTGCTTCTCTATGAGGCGAGTTCCACTTGTTGGAGAAAAAAAGTCCCATTTTAAGGTTTTTTTTAGTTCCATGGAAGTTGGAGAAAATTATCATCATCGTCTCTTATTGTGGAATCGTTTGGAGCTATAACTCTCTGCTTGTTTTCTTTTGTTCGACCCTTCTTCTCTCTTGCGTTTTCTTCTCTTTTGTTTCTTTTCCAGGTTCATGACTTTTCGTGCGCCCTTTTTCTCACCGATTTTCTTGTTCAGTTGCGCTGTTTGCAGGTCCTTCCTGGATTTTCAGTCATATCTCACATATCTTTTCGAGCCATGTTCTCTTAGCAGAGGCTGTTTTGAGATGGATTCTGAGTTAATCTCAAAGATGAGAAATTTGATTTAACCTCCAAGGAGGAAACGAGTATCACTCTCTCCGAATCCGATATATCTGCTAGCTTGCAAGAATGTTCTCTCAGTCTTGTGGGTAAAATATTCAGAGATAAGAAGGTAAATTTCAGAGGTTTGAAGGTGACTTTAGGGAATATATAGAAAACAAGAAAGCCTTTTCCTCTAGAATAGTCAGTCACAACCTGTTCCAATTTGTTTTTTAAGAGGAAGTAGATAAGCTGAAAATCCTTAAAGGAAAATCTTGGAGTTTCGATAGTCAGTATATTCTCCTCAAAGAATGACAACGGGGAACTTCAGTATGGGCGGAGGATGAGAGAGTGGAGCTCTGGGTCCAAATTAATAATTTACCCCTACACTGGATTACAATGAACACGGGGTTGAAGATTGGTAAGTTGTTCAACAGAGTCTCAGACATCTACATTCCATAAGTGGGTAGTGCAAATGGAAGACTGGTGAAGATTTTGGTTGATATCTCCCTCAAAGAACCCCTCCTTAGAGGCACAAATATAAATCTTGACCGCAAATCTTATCCGGTAGATTTCAGGTATGATAACCTTCAATTCTTCTATTTTTATTGTGGTCATGATGAGAGGAGTTGTACTAGAAAAAAAAATGACATTGAAAGAGGTGTGTTGAACTCAAGTCAATTTGGTGATTGGCTAAAAGCGTCGTGCCTAGGTTTCTCGGGGAGTAGAAGTAGGGAGTCCAATTCAGTTTTCCCTTTGCCTTCTTTGAGTTCTGAAACGCTTAGTGAGGAAGAGGGGTAAAAACAAAAAGCCTTACTTCTAATCAGTGTAGACAGGAGGCCCCAAATTTAGACAAGTTCCCCTTTTCTAAGTCTTCTGAGGTCAACCCTATTCTATCTAAGGTAAAGGCTCCCTCTGATCCCTCACCTACAAAAAAGTCTGAATCTTATCCTATCCAAGGGAAGTCTGAAGCTTTTGTTTATGTCCCTGTTGTTGTAGGTCTTCCTCTCAGACTTCAAACAAGGAAAAAGGCAAAGCTCCTATCCCTAAAGTTAATCTCCTTGCCCCTTGTTAGAATTGTGAGGAAAACTTCTTGGGAAAGTATGATGATTGATGTTGATATAAAAACTTAAACTCCTAAATCCACTTAAAAAAAAAAAAAAAACTTTTAACCACCAATGTTGGTAAAATTCAGGACCAATCTTAAATTTCTCAATCCAAAAAAGTAAAGTCTCTAAACCTGTTCAAGTAACTGAAAATCAGTTTTCCCAATTGTCCAGTGTGGGGGAAAAAACCAGCTGTAATTGGTCCCAAAGGTTAAAATAAAAGTTTTTGTGTGGAATTGTAGAGGATTAGGAGGGCCCTCTACAATTTTTCAATTCAAGGAGACCATAAGGTCCCACCAACCTGATTTTGTTACTTTCAGAGATAGAAAAAATAAAAAATATAAAAAAATAATTGTTAGCGCAATTTGGAAAAAGCTTAAGCTTGAGAATAGATGGTTTTATGTTGACCCTGATGGCTCTAGAGGTGGTCCATTTCTGTATTGGTCTTCCAATGTTGAAATCATGTCCTTAGTTGGTAATCATTTTTTCATTGCAGTATGTTTCAAGTATGAGCACACCTCTAAGGTTTGCTAGGCCATCTTCATCTACGCCAGTACGGACACCAGAATTAGAGAGAGCTAATGGAATTCTCTTCTCAGTCTTAAGTCCAGGTGGAGTAATCTCTGGTTCATGGGGGGTGATTTTAGTGCCTTAGTGTCTAATAGTGAGAAAAGTGGAGGGTGCGTTAGGAATGAAGGGAGTTTCTATAGCATTAAATCTTTCATCGGAAACCTATGTTAAGATGAAATGTAGTTCAAAGGACACCCCTTCACCTGGTCTAATAATAGGTTAGGAGAGGATTCTGTTAAGGCTAGGCTAGATAGATTCTTCTCTCCCCTGATTGGGTTTTAAAGTTTCCAAAGCATGAGGTTCAACACATTCCTCTCTTCTCCTCTAATAACTTTATGTTTCTCTTAGACACAAATAGAGGTGATGAATGAGAAAAAAAAAAAAAANGAGAAAAAAAAAAAAAAAAGAAGTTTCTTTTTTATTTTTTTCAATTCCAGATGGACAAAATTGGAAGGTTTTTAGGAAAATGTGGTCAGAGCTTAGAATTTAGGCATTAATTGGTCTGGTCTCTTCAGTTTACAGGGAAGAATCATGAATGTGAGAATTGATTTGATTAAGTGGAAAAAGAATCAGATACCTAACTCCTGAAAGACTATCAACTCAGTCAAGAGTTCTTCCACTCCGGGTCCCTCCTAAAGCAATGCAACCACACTGCCCTCACGCTTGTCCCGAAGACCTCTCACTCCTCGCGAGTAATGGACTTCCGGCCAATTGCGTGTTGTAATACGGTATACAAGATTTGCTCCAAAATCCTTGCAAGGAGAATTAGCGAAGCCCTCAACTCCATCATTGACGAAGCTCAAGCCGCTTTTGTGAAACGGAGGTGTATTACGGACAACATACACCTCATGCAACAATTGTTCCAGCTCTACTTGAGGAAACGAGTCTCCCCTAGGTGCATAATCAAAATTGACCTCCGCAAAGCTTTTGACTCCGTTTCTTGGTCATTTTTTAGGCAAATGCTCGAGGGCTTGGGCTTTCCATCGGTCTTCACAAGGTGGGTCTTGGAGTATGTCACTACTCCGTCTTACTCACTATCTGTTAATGGAAGCCTCAAGGGCCATTTCAAAGGAGCCCGTGATCTAAGACAAGGTGATCCCCTCTCGCATTTCCTTTTTGTGCTATGCATGGAGTGCCTTTCTCATCTCATCAAATACAACACGTCCGAAGGCTCGAACTTTAATTTCCACCCAATGTGCGAGAAACTAAAAATCTCTCACCTAGCCTTCACCGATGACCTCATGCTTCTTTCTTGAGGTAACTCGGAGTCGATTCAAGCACTCATGAATTGTTTAAAGGATTTTGGGCTAAGTCGGGGCTCGAAATGATCGTGATTAAGTCCAACATCTACTTGGCCAGAGTCAAAGAGAATAATCGGACCACCATCCTAGACAACACTAACTTGCAAAGTGGTCCAATGCCTTTCTGTTACCTCGGGATACCCCTCACCGCGGAGCGAATCACCGGTCGGCTCTTTCATGATATGATCAACCAAATTGAGAGCCAACTTAGTAGGTGGAGTGGTTACACACTTTCTTATGCCGGTAGATTGGAACTTATCTAGGCATTGAGTGCTTTTGGATGGGTATCCTCCATTTACCCAGTGTTGTGCGAACTAAAATCACCCAACTTTGTAGGAGGTTCTTATGGGGCTCGAAAAATGCCCCCGTGGCATGGGAGAGTTTGTGCTTATCACGATCGGAAGGTGGATTAGGTCTCCGGGACTTGGAAACTTGGAACTAAACGTTACTCACTCGGATGCCTTGGAACATGCAAGCCAAGAAGGAAACGCTTTGGTACAAATGGATTCATAACATTTATTTTAAGGGAAGATCTATTTGGGATTGGCAAATCGGTACGAAAGACCCACCTCTCTTCAAGTCCCTCTTCGAAATCCGACAAGGCTTGGTTGAAAAAGCAAGAAGTGAGCGAGGAGCGAAAGCTCTTCTACGTGGTTGGAGCTCTCGAGATAAACAAGATGAGTCTAGTAAGTGCTACGACTTCCTAAGACCTAGAGGACCCACAAGACCATGGACTGGGGTTGTTTGGGGGGCTTGCAATACCGCTAAGCACTCATTCATCCTATGGTTGGGGGTGCTTAATAGACTCCGAACAAAAGACCGTCTTCAATTCCTTGACGAAGACCCGATTTGCCCTCTATGCGGTGCCGCCAATTAATCTTCGAGCCACCTCTTCTTTGAGTGTTCCTTTAGCTCTGAGATTTAGAGTGAAATTCGTGTTTGGGTTAACCTCTGGCATAGGCCATTAACCAATAAGGTGCCCTCAAATGGACCAAGAAGGGTATTTGGAGAACCAAGTTGAAGAAAGCGGCGCTGGCGGCCACGGTGTACTTCATTTGGAATGCAGGAAACTGGTTGATCTTCGAAAATGAATACCAACCCCCGAGCCTTGTAATCCGAAATGTAAAAACACATGTATACCGCACTATCTTTGCTCTTTATCCTAATGTGCTTGCCGAGTTTGAGAGGCGGAGCCTCAGACTTTGAGTATGCCTTGGTTTGGATTTTGAGAGATGAGGTTGATGGGTGGCCGATCACCCGGGACGATGTGTTATTGGAGAAAGCTGCAGGAATTTCTTGGGCTCCAGGTGCTAGCGGCGCTAAGGGGGGGCTTAACGCCGCTAACAAGGGACTTTTGGTGAAGAACGCCCAGGCTTCAGGTGCTAGCAACACTAGAAGGGTGCTTAGCGCCGCAAGGGGTCCATCTAGCGCCGCTTTGCGGCTTAGCGAGAGTATAGCGAGAGCATGGCAGAAGCTCTCCATGTAGTAACGCCGCTACCCAAGGATGTGATTAGAGCTAAAAGTTGGTCAAAAATTTCCATGCAGAGCAAAATTCAAGGATGTGATTAGAGATTGGTTTGTTAGAAAAGGATATGATTTGAGGTTTCCCAAGAACGAATCCAAGCTCATCACAGCACAATGCAAAAGTGGGTGTGACTGGTATTTGAGGGCCTCAATTATTGGAGGTTTGTCCACATTTCATATCAAGACTTTGAAAGGAAAACACACATGTTCTTACAGGACAGAAAACACACAGGCAGACTACAAATATCTTGGGAAGAGGATAATAGATACACTGAGGGACAATCCTGGTGAGAGTTTGGCAAGTCTGAAAAATAAAATCAAGTGGCATTGTGGGGTTGATGTCAATCTGCACAAGGCATACAGGACCAAGGTGTATGCCATTTCTCTGTTGAATGTTGACTTTGGGGAATTGTATAATAGGCTATATAACTAATTCTCTACAGTATTCAAGTACAATCCTGGTAATTCTCTAATGCTGAAGGTGAACAATGATTTTTCACCTCCAAAGTTCATGAGGATGTATGTTTGCTTAACTGCAATGTGACAGCCATTTCTGACTGGTGTAGGCCAATTATAGGGCTTGATGGATGTTTTCTGAAGACTCTTCATGGTGGTCAACTACTTTTAGCAGTTGGTAGGGATGGCAATGACAATATGTTACCAATTGAAATGGCATATGTTGAAGTTGAGAAGACAGATACTTGGAGGTGGTTCCTTCAAAGGCTACTGAGAGATATAGAGAGAGAAAATGGACTTTTGTTTCAGATAGACAGAAGGGTTTGCTTTAAGTTGTGAGTGAAATTAAGGGGAAGAACACATATATTGTTTGAAGCATATGTATAATGTTTGTCTAAACACAGTAAGGAAAATTGAAGAGCAAAGGGAATTCAGTAGGAATTGTTTCTCTACTTGGGTTGGAGAAGACAAGTATGAGGTGGTTCATGGACTAAACAGCCATATAGTCCAATTGAGAACAAAGAGTTGTACATGTGGCATGTTTCAATTGGTTGGGTACCCCTGTTGCCATGCATCTCTTATCATAGGTTCTCCCTCTTTCTGATTATGTGTCTGAATTCTTCAAAGAGGACATGTATATCAGGATGTATAGCCATATGATCTTTCCAGTTCCAGGGATGAATAAATATGAAGAATCAGGAATGGGCCCAATTCAGCCTCTTGATGCTGTGAAAAAGCGGGGTAGGCCAACAAAGAAAAGAAGAGATGATGCTAATGACTTGAGGTTTGTGGCAACAAATAGCAGCAAAAAGAGATTTATCAAAAGATGCACTGTGTGTGGAGAAAATAATCATAATAAGGGGAGGTGAAACAAAAGAGCTCGTACAAATAATCCTCAGAATGTGAACTTTCAGATTTTTAACTTTTTAAACTTGAAGTTTTCAGTTTTGAACTTTCATTTTTTTTTTTTATTATTATTCAACTTGTACTGCCAGTTTTTCAGTTCTTTTTTTTTCTGTGTTTTTGCAGCAACAAACTGAGCATTCTTTTGAGGAATCTGTCAACTTCAATGCCCCTCCAACCTCCACTCAGAAAAATAGCATAGGCTGATTCATTGG